AAAAATATAAAAAATAATTAGAAAAGATAGTTAAATTATGTGTAACAAAAATCATTAACAACAATATTTAGATTGATTTATATGTATAATAGGTGCACAAAACTATAATGTTTAGGGAACCAGACTAAACAAATGCAACACGAAACTTTTATTAATTTCTAAAAATTTGAATCCAAGTTTAAATTGTTATGCAATAAACATAAAACTATACTTTTAAAATTAAAAAACACAATCTCAAAAGTTTGAAAGTTTTCTGAAAATTTTTCAACTCACAAATTGAATTCGTAAAAGTTTAGTACTATCACCTTGAATCTTCACACAAATACTATCTTACCACATGTTGTCGTAAAATATTTATGAAAGAAAAAAAAAATTAAAACATAAAAAAAATAATTTATTCATCAATTTTTGACAAACTATTTTACACCTAAACCTTTGCAGAATACCAAAAAATTCAAATATTTTACCTGAAAAAAGAATGAAAATATTTTACATATATAGAGTGGCAAATTTGATTGATAAATTATTTTCCTTTCCTATCTCCACGAAACAATTATTCCCATTCCATATACAGAAAGGTTTGTACTGAAAATGACAGACATGTGATTTTAAAGTTATAAACCAATGACCTTAGAGAGCTAAGCTTGTGGGAGTCTCCATCAGATGAGAACATTAACCTTAAAATCCTAGAGATAAAAAATTAATTTCTTGTCTTCCAAAATTGTTGCATAAATGCGTAACCTAAAATATACATGAACCCCATGTATATATAGGCAAAATAAAAATAATAATTAAAGACAATATATTTTTCTCAATCTCTAAAATTAACGTGATATCTCAAATCTAATGGGCCTTTAATATAAAGTTGGGCTACGAGTGAGAATCATTTGGGTTTATTATTTTCTTGGCTACAATGAATTAATAATTAGCCCGAACCATTATACCATGGACCCAATCTAATTAATTCATAAATTAATTTCTACACCACTAAAAGAAATTAATTGAACGCCAATCAAATAATAAATAACCTTTAAATTAATGTTGCATTTTGACCCCTCTATGCATAATTAGTTATTAGATAAATAAAGTCATCAATCCGACTACTAAATTAATATATTTATTTTGGTACATTTGATTATTTCCGGCTTGATCACAATAAAACATTTGTTTGACAAAAATAATAATTTGAATAAACAAATATATAGAAAATCATTTTGTCTAAAAACACACTAAAGCCTTCGAATTTAATTTGTAATCAACCAAAATTAATACAAAATAAATACAAGTAATAATGATGCAAATATTGAAAATATAACCCTCTAATTATTAATTACATAATTACCCAAAGTACCGGTCTATAGATTCCGAAAATTCCGCCGAACAAATCAAAGTAATTACTAATTAATAAAAGAGTCTACACTTCTTTCATGCTTAAAAGTCAAATGCCATGACAGTGATAAGGAACAATTGCATACCACGGCCCTCACAATATATCTCAACCTAACGTAGATCCAGTTCAAGTCTTAGTTAATAATGAGTCCATCCATTATTACTGACTATGAATTATTTATGATTACTATTTATATTCATGTATTGATTGCAATTACATACATATAAATATCTCTTGTAATCAAGTGGACACTATCAATTCCGTAATGAATTGAAACATAATATATTGAATTCACCAATTGTATAAAGTATCAATATTTCAAATATATGAGGAACATATGTCAATTTAATCCAAATATAAATTCGCTATGCCATGGCATACAAAATCCCAACATCCTCACCATAATATTGTCTGTTTTTTGCTTCTCTGGACCAAGGGAATTTAACAATTCTAACCCTAGCTAGACATAATATTGTCTGTTTTTGTCTTTCCTGAACCAGAGAGTTCACAGGGGGTTGTAACAACCCTAACCCTAACCAAACACAATATTGCCCGCTTTTAGCTTCCCCGAATCAGAGACTTCCGAGGAGGTCACCCATCTTGATATTACTCCAGGTTAAGGATGCTTAACTCTAAAGTTCTGGTGGGTTCACTGCCATAATGGCTTTAAAGCGCGTTGTGTCATAGAAGAGTGTTGAATTTACATATAACACTTGTCCCCTCCACACTCAGACGATGTGGAATTGTGCACCTATAGCTCATCCAGTGTGGTAGCCTACTGGTACCACATGCACACGCTCACATATACCTGCCCACAAAGTAGCCACAATATTATGACGACCTTATGGGCGGGTGCAAAAGGCACTTGCAAGTTACCACACTGGACAAGTTACGGGTGCACAATCCTACATCTTATAGGTAAAGGAAAGGTAAAATGTCTATATGTAGTGGTGTTATCTCCAAATGGTATAAGACCTTTAGGGTAAAGCCCAAGAACAAAATCGTGTGGGCTCGAACCCAAAGCGGACAATATCATACCATGTCGTGGAGTGGTTATTACAAATGGTATCAAAGCCTGACCCAGTCAGAAGTGTGGCCAACAAGGACGTTAGGCCCCAAGGGGATTGATTGTGGTGACCTTGTAGGCAGGTGTGTCCTGGGCAGTTACAAGAGGCACTCGCAGGCTACTACACTGGGCAAGGTACGAGTACACAATTCCACGTCGCCTGGGTAAGGAAAATATGAAGTATTTATACGTGGTAGTGTTATCTCTAGATAGTATGAGGCCTTTGCGGATAAAGTCTAAGAGCAAAACCGTGAGGGCTCGAACCCAAATCGAATAATATCATACCATATGGTGAAATGGGTCGTTACAGTGGTCGCGTTGACCGATTTAACGGAATACCCATACTCTGACACAACACGAATACGACCCGCCAACATGAATTGTCAACCCTAGTCATGTATGCAATAAATAAGGAAATGAGGTCGTGAAGTCATCCACGTACTTGTATTTAACATAAATAACCAATCAAAAACTATTCGATTAGATAATTTACTTCAAATTTTTTGTGTGAGTATTACTATTTTATAATTTAACACACGTGTATATAACTTTACCAGTTCAGACCGAATCGGTCTGGTAAGACCTCAAATCAAAACTAAATCGTATTTTTATGGTTCCATGAACTATTAAGAAATTGTACCAAATTGTCTAGTCCGATTTGATTTTTCAATTTGATGGATTTTTTATGCATCTTACAACTTTCAACCAAAAAAATGCTAAAACATCATTTTTACACGTTGAAGACCATCAATTGAGCGAAATACAATGTAACCAAAGTTACAAACCTTAAGAGAGATCATTGTAATTTGACAATCAAAAGGGAAGCTAGGATCATGTACATTTTATGAAATTTCATGATAAGTTAATGTAATTTATCCTTATCTTTATTTATTCTTTCAATATTAAAGTGAATTCTTATTCAATGGGACATTGTTGATATCAGTGGTTGATTTAATTTGGTAAATATTTGCTTATGTTGCCTTATAATATGTTATTAAATTCTCATGAAACTACTCTATTTAATTTAATTAGAGAGTTTTAATTTGACTGAATCACATTATTCCAATCAATACCAATTTAATAATTTCTCCTGATTTCTCTCTTAATTAATAAATGAATAGAATTTTGATTACAAATTTGTGGAATGGTAGACAATTTGATATATTTTTTTAAATGGTATCTAAGAAAAGCGTATTCTAGAAAACGGATAATACTTGTCTACTCACCGGTGAGTAGAAAGTTTATGCTTACCCCTGATGTGGCGTAAAAGTAATATGACAAGTGTTCCTAAAATAAAAAATAATAATAATTAAAAAAATTGAATGTTTAACGGTCAAACAAAAATGATGCAAATTAAATCATAATTTAACTCTCTCTTTCTCTCTCTTAAACTATTCCGCTGAAAGTAATGTGACAAGTACACCTAATTACATAAAATTTGGTTCATATGGTTTGATAGATGATTCGTTGATTACAGGATAGATTGTTATTACTTATTTCTTGTCTTCTTTTTCTTTTGGCGGAAAACAAATATCTATGTATCATTACATTTAGGGAAATAATTCTTGCACCGAATAGTTGCAGTGAATTACTACACTTACTCTTTTAATTGGCCAATTATACAACAAATAAGAAAGCGGGGTGTATTTGGTATAAATAGCCAATTAAAAATTATTCTGTTAGGCAATTGCAAGTATTCAGTGAGAGTATCACTACTCTTACATTTATATATAGTAATTCTTTATATTTAGCATCCAGAACTTTGTTTGTATATTGTAATATTATTTTATTTAAGTTATTCTTTCTATTCATCCTCCATAACTTTGTCTGTATCTTATAATATTATTTCATTTAAGAATTTTAGCTTAAAATATTTTTTTTTCCCGACAAAATTCCTTTCTCATTCACTGCCCGGACAAAAAGAGTAGCGTGCGAGAGTTAAATTTGGATCATATAGAGTTTAATCCGATATCATATTGGGTTTAATCCGAATAACCTCTCAAATCTTTTATATTTTATTATTTTATATTATAAGAACATGTGTTCCACTAATTTTGCGTCACATTAGGGTAAGTATGCAAGTATGAACTTTCTATTCACCGGTGAGTAGGCAAATATTATCCCAAAAAAATTCTCTTGTTGGAGGAATTAATTAATAGGATTTAAACAAAACCTTATGAAAAATGCTAAACTCTCAATTGAGAAGGGGGTGAGTCAACTGTCTAAGGAAAAACTATTTGTTGGGAATCCTACTTATGGTACGCAAATAAATTAATTAGTATCTATTATACTTTTAATGGAAATAGACAAATTAAACTTACTGTTAGGAACTAATTTTAAGTTGCCTCTATAAAATGTTAAACCTTTTATAATATATATTTTTGAATTCTATAATAATATTAGTAATATATTTGCTTCAATTGGTAATTTGGTATTCATATTACATTACTGGACTTAACTAAATAAATATTTAATATATTTAGAATTAATTATCAAATGCAACAATTAGGAAGAAGAGAGGAATAAAAAACATACCAGTGGTAATTATGTTAATGCTCTGTTCATTTATATAGTAAAACTTTGCAATGTTTACAAATGATGCAACTTGTGTTCAGTTATATAGTAAAACTTTGCAATATTTACAAATTATGCAACTTGTGTTCAGTAGTCTTCAATTTTGGTGAATCAACTTCCTACCAACACTGATCCGTCTCCCAATTCCGGCGAGTATAACTGGAAAATCCGGCCCTCGAGGTTACGAACGGCCGGTAGGAGAGGTTCCGATCGTAAACGGCACGCCTCTCCGGATCCAGCAGAGTAGAATACGCGGCATGGATCTTGATGAACTCGTCGGCCGACGATTCCTTCCGGTCCTCCTCCACGGCATCCGGGTGGCAAACCCTTGCGAGTCTGCGGTACGCCGCCTTGATCTCCTGACTGGTTGCCCCCTTGGGAATTCCCAGAATTTTGTAATAGGAAGTGGTCAGTTTGGGAGAGCAAAGGCTAGTGACGGCTGCGGCGGCAGTGACACATGGTGGTCGGAATCTGACGCAAGACGGCGAAGGAGTGGAACGAGTGACGGAGATTCTTGAATGGTGTGAGGGTCGGAGAAATGAAGAAGTGGAGGGTACAGAGACCATGATTCTTCTGTATGAGGAAGATAGAGGTGAAGTGTGTGTTGTGTATATATATATATATATGGTTTGGTGGAGCATAGAAATTGGATGGGTTTGAAGCTGAGTCGGCATTCAGCTTATCCGAATGGGTTATCGGATATTACGCGTCTCGTGTCGGTACCTGACCTGACTCAGGAATGTGAGTTACCACTTTCGTCTTAAATGCGAGAGGGAGAATGTGTGTGTTTTGATGATTAAAAGTAGGATTATATTATGATTGTCGGTGCGCTGATACATGGCAAGTTTCGCCAGTCAAAGAAGTCAAGCTCCCATAACTGCTAGTACACTCCAAATTTAATGTCAAAACCCTAACCACAAATAGCGATGGTTCGAAGTACAACATTTGATTTCGAAAACCTGGCATTGGCTTAGTGGAAAAAGCTTAGCCTGGGAGCGTCATTAAATTTTAAGTTTTAAGTTAAATTTTTTTCTAGGTGCAAATAATTTTTTGGGATCATGATCACGAATATAATTTGAATTTTATTCGATTTGTATGAAGAGTTCGACTTGTATGGGTTCTGTAAATTAATCGGGACAAAGCTTCGAACATTCCAATTATCATAAATAAAAAAAAACAAAAAAACATTTGACCTCGAAACCTCCTAATATAGTTCCTCAATGGACAAATCAAATTCTAAAATCCTGAAACACTCAGAAGTCCAAGGTAATCCTTGAAGTCCAAAATCTTGAAACATTTTATTAGGTTTATTGAAACTATGAAAGACAACTTTCGAATTCAAAATAGATTGTCCTCAAATTCAAAAGACTTGAGATAGTTAATCATCGAAACTTCGAAACAAACTCCATTGTTAAAGAATTAAAGTACGAGTCCGAACTTGCTTCTCGCTCGAGGAGGGGTAACTAATAAATGGTGAAAGTTATTGGTAAGACTCATTGCATTATGGCAATCACCTCACTTATGATACATGGAAAGATATTGAATTAGAGAATGAGAAGTCAAAACTCCTCTACACACTTGCAAGAACTTATTAAGAGAAGGTAGAAAGTGAGTGTGTGTGTGTGTAATTTTAGTCTGTATTTTAGATAAATATATAGTTACATGTATGATTATATTTAAAAAGTCCCATATTAAAAAAAAAAAACTTAATAAAAATATTAAGTAAAAAATTAATATGATAGTATATTCCATGATAAGTATATATACAAATGATTTAACGTCATTTTCACTTTCAACATTTTTCTTTTCCACACTTATTTTATGTGACTTAAGTTTCGATTGAGTTTAATTTTGAATCTTGTTGTAAATTAAACTTAATTACTTATATACCATTGTTAATTGATTCAAAGGCAAAAGTTACATTACTTTTATTCATGTCATCATATATTTTTATGAATCTCACAACCGTAAACCAGGCAGGAGTCTTATTGGACTTAAGCCCTTACCAGTGAAAAACGGCTCAAAAGTAATTTTTTAAAACATTGAGATTTGTTTCTGACGTGGTGCACAATCCGTCGCTCTTTTTTTATGGTGGGGGCAATTGTCCCCACTCAAAATTTCTTCTTTGCTATTATAAATCTACCAATTTTGTTTTTCTGAATTATATACCTATATATTTTTAAAATTGCCTCCTTAAATTACAAAAATAATAATAATAATTAATTAATTAATTTTTCCCACTTCATGGTTTACACCTTTTTATCTTCTTGTTTCCCCCTCACATAATTTTTTAAATCTATTTCTGATAGTAGGCGCCAACATCGCATGGTATGGTATACATTTTTATTTTATTTATCTATTTTTTTTTTTCTTTCTTAATTGGTATTTACACACACATGTTTCTACCGAGACTTTAACTCCTGACATCTTTTTAAAAAATAAAAGCCTGATACCGCTATGCCGCTGACCTGTTGATGCATACATTAAAATTTCTTAGTTGCACGATTGTATTCTTCTAATCATCTATGAAACATTGAAATTTCCTAAATGATTAAAAGAATATAATATTGTAATCAAATCAAATTTCAAAACTTGAAGAATCCCACAAAACCATTACATTGTAGGTCGGTTCTTGAATAATTCATGTCACTTATATTTCGTACGCTTGTTTTCGAGTGAATTTTTATTCAACCTTTTTGTCTCTGCCACGGTTAGTAGTGTGTTGCAAACCATAAAGGACATAAGTCGACACATAATATTAAAAAAATTATTAGATAGTCTTGACTTATACATCATCTAATGATAAAGTCCAATTAAAACTTATGTTTATCTTATTAAATTCTTATATATCCACTTTTCTCACATGGTTTAGGACCAAAAATTTTCCCACAGTTAATAAATGACTAGAATTTTGGATCACTAATTCATGTAATACTAGGCAATTTGATACTTCTTTTGAATGATATACATTTATTTTTTATTTCTTTTCTTTTCTTGCTATTTTTATATAACCAAATGAAACCTAAAAGAGTATTTAAAAAATTCCTAAAATTAGAAGACCTTCTCCTGTTGGAGGAATTAATTAACAAGATCTAAGCAAAATCTTAATAACTGGAAATGAATTTAACTGTAATTAAAAAAAATGTTGGAAATCCTACTTATTTATTTCATCAATCTATTATATATTTGATTAATCTATTAGTACTATGTTTTTAGTCGAAATAGACTAAAGTGTTGTTAGATAAAACTAAAAATTATGTTGTGAAAATACTGAAATTTTAAGTGGTAATAAATATTTTTTGAAATCCTTTTGAATTTCCTGCATGCAACATTCAGTCATATTTCTATCACTTAAAATTTTATTTTATTTAAGTGATATTCAAATTGTATTATTAAACACACTTAATTGAATAAGCTTTTAATTCATTGAGAATTAAACACTTAATTAAGTTTTCAAACAATAAGATATTTTTTGATAAAATTAAAACATACCAATTAACTTTTTTTTAATTTTAAATTTTCTAATAAGTGAAATCTGTTTCAATTAGTATTCATACTACATTATCAAGTGCACTTAACTAAATAGATATTAATATATTTAGAATTAAATTATCAACTAACACGATAAAAAGGAAAAAAGAAAAATATGAAGATAAGGAGGATATGCCTCAAAGAATGAGCCTGGAATTTTTTTTTTTTTTTTTTTTTTTATCATTGGAAAGGCACAAAGGCCAAGCCAAAGTGATAGTACAGAAGCATAAGCCAAGACAGATGAAGGCATACAAATCATGAAGCAAAAATAAGTAAAATGAAAAACAAGCTCCAGATTTTTTGAGAAAGAGCCACCGCTCTAGAACAGAATGTTGGGATTTATATGCCTTGGCATAACAAATTTCTATTTGGCTTATAGTAACATATGTTTCTGACATATCTGAAATATTTATGATTTATATAATTTGTGAATTCAATGTATTATGTTTCGATTCATTATGGAATTGATAGTGTCCACTTGATTACAAAAGATATTTATATATGTATGTGATTGCGATCAATACATGAATATAAATAGTAATCATAAATTATTCATAGTCAGTAATTATAGATGGACTCATTATTAACTAAGATTTGAACTGTATCCGCGTTAAGTTGAGATATATTGCGAGAGCCATCGTATGCAATTGCTCCTTATCACTGTCATGGCATTTGACTCTCGAGCATGAGAGAAGTATAGACTCTTTTATTAATTAATAATTACTTTAATTTGTTCGGCAGATACTTAGGGATCCATAGATCGGCACTTTGGGTGGTTACGTAATTAATAGTTAGAGGGTTATATTCTCAATATTTACATCCATGTTACTTGTATTTATTTTGTATTGATTATGGTTGATCACAAATTAAATTCGAAGGCCTTCGTATGTTTTAGATAAAATGTTTTCTATATATTTATTTAGTAAATTATTATTTTTTGTTAAACAAATATTTTATTGTGATCAAGCCAGAAATAATCAAAGGTAACAATATAATTATATTAATTATGTTGTCGAATTGATAATTTTATAATCCGATAAATAATTATGCATAGAGGGGTCAAAGTGCAACATTGACTTAGAGGTTATTTACTATTTAATTGGAGTGCAATTAATTTTTTTTAGTGGAGTAAAAATTAATTTATGAATTAATTGAATTAGGTCCATGGTTTAATAGATCAGACCAATTATTAATTTATAGTAGCCAAGAAAATAGTAAACCCAAAAGATTCTCACCCATAACCCAAGTTGATATTGGAGTCCTATTAGAATTGGGATATGTGAATTAAAGATTAAGAAGGATTTATTGTTTACTTTCCTTATCTTTATGTTGCCTATATATACATGGGTCCATGTATATATTAAGGTAGACTTTTGAAAGAAAAATGAATATATTTTATCTTTCTATTTTTAGGGTTTGCTTTCTCTTTTGAAAGAGACTACCACAAGCCTTGCAAGGTCATTCATCGAGGTATATTAGTAATTCCTAAAGGGAATATTACTATCAAGAAGAAGGAGAAATGATCTTGCTAAGAGATTTACAATAAGTAAAAACATTCACTTTAGATAAAAGATTTAAAGGTTTTCTCAAACCTTTGATGTAAGTATTCAATCTATTAATTGAATGATACATCATATTTTATTTTTGCATAAAACTTGTCTTCTATATATGAAAATTCTTCAAAAAAATTTTAAAACTTGCACGTTTCCTATCACGGAAACCACCAAGAAAGAAAAGCAGCAATTGGAGTGATCAAAAGTCAGGCCATCATCAAGACAACAGCTCCACAGCTGCATCCATAAGGAGCTCCACACACCCACCCGCGCACAAGATCAAATCAAGCCTCTAGCCACAAAAAAACAAAAAACGACAGAAAAAACCACCCCCAAGGCAAACTTATTGAGATATATCTAGCATGATCGTCCTCAAATCTAGAATAGATCAAGATATCATCAATGAAAATAATGACAAACTGATCCAAATAAGCCCTGAAGACTTTGTTCATTAAGTCCATGACAAACTGATCCAAATAAGCCCTGAAGACTTTGTTCATTAAGTCCATGAACACTGCTGGTGCATTAATTGTCCCAAACAGCATGACACGAAACTTATAAGAGCCGTATCCAGTGAGAAACACGGTCTTGAGTTTATTACATGTGAGAGGCAAGCAAGGACACCTCCCTACTCCAATTGAAGGGAGCAGCAAGCAAAACAGAATGGGGACTAGCTGAGAGTGAGAAAGGGTAGAGAGAAGAGAGGAAAATTAGAGGCCGCTCGATGTAGAGATCTATCGAATGAGCTTTAGAAATAACAAAATCAAGACTATACATTTCTTTTTACTTAAATATATATATATACACAAAACAAGAACAGAATGAACATTAAAGTGTAATTTACACGAAAAATAAATAAATAAATAAAAGCTTTTCTCTTGCTATTTTCATCATATACTAAATAGATACACATGTTTACTGATTACGTATGTTAGTTCTCAATTCATTTATACAGTAATATGCTCTTTAATATGTACAAATATATATCATTTTCTTGTGTTCAGTAGTCTACAATTAGCTCAATCAACTTCCTACCAACACTGATCCGTCTCCCAATTCCGGCGAGGATAACCAGAAAATCCCGCCGTCGCTGTTGCTGGAGAAGCCGAAATTCCGGAATACGAAACGAACGACAGGTGGAAGAGTTTCTGGTCATAGACCGCACGCTTCTCTGGATCCGAAAGAGTAGAGTATGCGGCATGGATCTTCATAAACTCGTCGGCTGACGAGTCCTTCCGGTCCTCCGCCGCCGCGTCGGGGTGGCAAATCCTGGTGAGTCTGCGGTACGCCGCCTTGATCTCGTGAGGGGTTGCCCCCATTGGAATTCCGAGAACTTGGTAAAAGGAAGCGGTCGGTTTGGGAGGGCAAAGGCAGTTGGAGCTAGTCGAGGCGGATGCGATGACACGCGGTGGTCTGAATCTGACGCAAGACGGCGAGGGAGTGGAATGAGTGAAGGAGATTCTTGAATGAAGTGAGGCTCCAAAAAGGGAAGAAGTGGAGGGGACAGAGAACATGATTGTCTGAGAGGCAAAGGTAAAGGGTCTGTCGTGTGTATGTAGATATAAAGTTACACATGTACACACCTATATATACATATATGATTTGGTGAACTGTAGAAATGGCGGGTAATGGTTATCTTGGGTTAGAAGCTGAGTTGGCACAGACCTTATCCAAATTCGTATCGGATCTAAAAGATGGTCGGTGCCTGACATGACTGAGAAATGTGACTTAGCTCCATGTCACGGGCCTCAAAAAGCGGATCTTTTGCACCGCATCCGGAACCAAGTGACTTCTCTTCTGTCCACAACTTTTTCGGTGATTAACTTCCGAAAAAAAAAAAAAACCTTTTTCGGTTATTAAACTAATATTATTTCAAAATTCAGTTAGACTAGTACCTATTTTAAATTATTTCCATTAACTATGTTAGTTTTTAGATTGAGGGTGCTTCCGAATCCAATCTAAAAACTTATTATGTGGGTTAAATTTAATTCATTTATATCTATTTTACTTTTTTATTGGATTTTTGAATATGATTTGAAACGATATTTTTTCTCACTCAAATTTGTAACGTTCCCGTTACATTCGGATCACCTTGTCTATCCGAAGTGACCCATCCGAAGTCAGACATTTGGTACGACACCGAATCAAAAATGAATCTGACTATAATACCAATTATGAAAAATCAAGTATTTAGTGATCCGACTTAAAAACTTGAATTATTAAATAAAATTAACACCTAAACTATTATTATACTCCTCTGACTTTCCATTCCAATTCCCAGTAACACTTAGGTTGATGGGCGGCTGATATGCCCGGTGGAGAAGGGACCAGTAAGGATTCAGCCATCAAGTTTGACCCAAGCAAAGACTGGTCATTTATCATAAATTTTCTTTTAAAAGCACTTCCTAATTTGGACTTATTCCCCAATTTTGGGGGTAAGAAAAGATTCTAAAGTCAACAATACTTGCCCCAATTTTGGGGGTAAGAAAAGATTCTAAAGTCAACAATACTTGCCCCAATTTTTGGGATTAGAAATTGAAGGCATTCCCATCTTCCAAGTTTCAGTGAGATCAAGCAGTGAAACAGCAATCATGAATAATACATGAGTTTATAGAAGATTAAATATAAACTATATAAAAGAATTCCATTACAAGAGATTTTCATTGATAATTTATTTATGTCACACGTTACAATTTGTAGGGAACAATCAGAGAAAACCCCTATTAAAAAAAAAAAAAACATGTACACTACTAGCATGACCATGTTATCTGCAGCCAGTTCCAGTTCCGGCTCAGGGCCAAAGCAACTCTACATCAAACACCTCTCGGCAAGACGTCCTCATAAGCCTCTATTTCAATTCCTGTCACTAAGCGCTTCAATTTTCTAACAATATCCACAAAAATGGCAGTAGAAACAGAAGCAGATGAGAGCCCATTTGTGAGGAGGATCTTCAAATAGATTTTTTTTTCTTTTTATTTGAAAAAATGAGCTCTACTTCTCATTCCGTCTCTCTTCCCTCTCAAATTCTGGACAACATTCTGATCTACACTTTCGAAAATTTTCGCAGAACACGTGGGCTGGTCACATTTCGTGAACTCATGCTTGCAGTACGTAAAAGTCTACGAAACTCTGATAGGCTTATCTTACCGTCTTTGTCAATATCTGCTTCCTCAAGAAGTGGGTCTACAGAGCCCTTTAAGCATGTGTGCTGCCAAGGCAATAGCATAATATTAAGAGCCATATATCATGAGGTTATAATAGTTCTTCTCCCACATATTTCATACCTCCCCAAAATTTCATGCAATATCATTTCAACTGGCTAGAAAAGGTACTTATGAAAAAACCAGAGTTGAAACTTGAAGGATACAAAAAGAATGGATTTGGGTGGGTATAACCACAGTCAAAAAATAATCCCATTCTCATCCATACAGGAATGCCAGAAATGAACTTACCATTTTTAGTTCTTCTGGGGTTATATATCCATCTTTATCCACATCAAATTTCTCAAAAGCAGCCTGTGATCTCTGCTGCCACTTTTCTGAGTTATGTTCCTCCATTTGATGGACATGCAGAGTGGCTGCAACAAACTCCGTGAAATCGACAAGTCCATCAGTGTTGATATCGATCTGCCTCAAGAAAACAATTAATCTCTCATCAGGATCCATTTGTAGAAAAAAATACAATTCACAACTAAGAACCAAGTGCAGAGATCATGCCTTCAAAGGTATAGTGTGTTATACAAGAAATGATACGAAAGAAAAATCATGGAAGTGCAATGATATATCATGGATGAAAACTAAATAAAACTTCTTGTCCATCTCCCCAGAAAGAGTCATGTAACTCATTTTTTTTGTAGTGTGGATAAACTGGTAACGGGAATAGTGGCTCAAAATGTGAAAAAATACATTGTGGGCATGAAAGGGGGTCTGGAAACCTGGGAACTTCTTTTCTAAAAGAATAGGCTTACCGCTTGAAGAATCTCCAAAACACGTGAATCTTTCAACTTCCAAGGAAGATCTTTAGCAAGGGCCTGCATTGACCAGCCATGTTATGGAAAATGTGACGAAAATGTATAAATGCATTACGAAATATTAAAGATCGAAATGCAAATTCAAAATCAGTCTAGCCTTGTCCTACAATGAACAAATAAAATAATAATTATTTGAAGACTAACCTCCCACAATTACAATGAGGAGAAAACATACCTGCCTCATTTCTTCAAGACTAATGGCACCATTTTTATCCACATCAATTGCATGAAACTGATCTTTGAGATCAGCCAGTTCCTCTTCATCAAGTGTGCTTGCCAATGCCTACAAGAAAATGGATTTAGCAATTAAAAAATATGATGGAGAGGAACATCATAGTTCTGCATTGAAGTTCCAATCAAAAGAAAATTTTCTTACTCTGAGAGCGAACTGTTTCAGACGACTGTACTTCACAAATTGCCGCATATTGTTTAGGATTGAAATATCTAGAGGAATCTCTGAGGCATCTCCCCCTTCTCTAACCCATGGATGTGCTGGGAAAGCGGGAAGATATTAGGACACTAAATCATATACTAGTAAAAAAGAAAAAAAAAAAGGTTCATCAATCACATATTAATATATGAGAAAATAGAGAATCACAAAGGTTCATGACAGTCACCAGAAAAATCTTGGTAAATGTACGTATTCTAGTTTTAATTGGAAAGACATTTGGTTCATGGTCAAATGATTAAGGCAAATCAAGTTCCTTATCAAATTCAGCCTTCTATCACTCTCTGTAGCATTTCTTGGTTGCCTATGTTTAAATCTACAAGACCTATAGTGCAAAATTTCTCTAAACCGCCAAATGGAGTTGGTTAAAATTCAAAGGCATTTGTCCAAAATTTCTTCCAACCACTGACCCAAGGATTCGGTATTTGCCCAAAAAGAAGGTTGATGTCTTGCTGAGAATAGGCTAAATTATAATCTTTAACTATGACAAATTACATTATGATCAATAAAGCCCACTCTAAGTAGATATATTTAAGGCTCAACCCCAACGGTCTTTAAAATTTTCAGTTCAAGTTACACCTATATAAACAATATCTATTTTTTCAGTAGATGAGCAGAAACGTACATAGGGCCTGAGCAGCAGTAAGTCTAGCACGCGGATCCTTCACAAGTATTTTTTTTACAAAATCTTTAGCACTGTTGCTTATGCTTGGCCATGGTTTGCGACGAAAATCAGGCTTGTTCTTTAAAACCTGAAATATTAGAAATATTAAATAAGTATACCAAGAAAAAGAAAAATGACAGAAGCTAAATGGTAAATAGTAAAAATATGTAATAAAATAATAATAATAAATAAAATAAAATAAAAACTAAAGATTGAATCGATCAGATCTGAAGAACTTTTGGACTGCTCATCTATCATCTTCCATGGTAAGATTCAAAGGCTGCCTACCCACTTACCCAGTCAACCCACCAACTACTCACACTGTATGACCTGGATGCCAGAACTTCCTAGTTAACTTATGAATATCCCCCTCTTCTTGCATGGAAAGATTGGCAGAAATCCTTTTTCTTACGACATCCCAATTAATTTCAATCAAGTATATCCTTAAATAACAATGACATCATACATTACAACATTTTAGAAGTGTTAAACTGCAAGATATCGGTCAGCTACAAGGACCATGATTCGCTCACCAATCATATTGATAATCATCCTTTAATCAGGCTATAGTTACTAATGCAAATCACCTCATAAAAGAAAAGTTGTTTTCCCCTGGGCTATATTTATTGCACTTGAGATTGATTCCTAACAGAAAATGAATGCTTCAGCTGGTTAGCTAATCAAATAATCTTATTCCAAATTATCAATGGTGGCAGCTCAAGGGAGATTTTTACAAAATTATGCCATGTGATCTGTTAATTTGCAGACTTTTTCTTTGAAAGTCAAGTGGAAGTTGGTTTATAGTCTCTGTCCCTTGTGAAATGGACTTGATTAACTACAGGAGTTCTTATTTGAAGCTACCGTTGTATGATGTGCCGAGAAAAATAATTTCTATCAGAAACAGAGCCTTGGACTCTTAGTAGATAAAGGGAATCTGTGAAACAAGTAGGCAAATGACTTGGCATGGGAGGTAACCTACAGGTAGGTCACTTACTTAAGCAGCCTTAAAATTGACCGAGAACATATTTGATCCCGATAAATCACTAGAAAGTAATTGCAAAACAAAACATAAACAAAATGGTAATAGAATATATATAGTACTCCGAATGTACTTAAGTAAATATCACTGACAAGAATATTATTAGCATATGTTCTGAAGAAGGCATACATGATTTACTCAATGAAGTAGGTTATTCAAAAATAAGTTAAAAATTCAAAAAGAAGAAATGACACAAACATAACTAATATATCACACGGAAAATAAAATGATTCATGAAATGAGAAAACTGGAATAATATGAACTCCTAAACAACAAAAGGAGGAGAATGTTCAAATTTACTCTATGCTAAAACACAATCAGGTTGTTTCATAGAAGAAATCCACAAACAACATAGGGTTCATGGAAATTCAAGGAGAAATACAATGGAAATAGGTTCAGGAAATGACATGCAAAGCACAAAATTAAAAAATGGGTAATATGCAAATACAATCCTTGTACTGAATCCAGAAAGTTAAAGCGAAACAACTCATCCTACAGAAAGCAGGAAGAAAATGCCAACAACCCAAACCTAAACTAAGTATATATTGTACCTCCTTGAATATACCATCCTCTGTTTTATCCCAAAAGGGGCGCCTGCCACAGAGCAAAATGTAGGTAATTACACCAATACTCCAGACATCTGATTCAGGACCTGATTTACGTTTCAGTACTTCAGGAGCAACATAGTAGGCACTGCCAACAATATCTTGAAACTTCTTCCCTGCATTAGTAATAAAATTATGCATAAAAGACTTCAAAATTCCGAAACACAAATGGCCAAATATAAGATCACAAAATCTTTTATGGAAAAAGCTACGGAGATCTTCAAATAAGAGAGGGCAAAATACAATATTAACTCAATACATATGTTATATTATTCTCGTTAAACAACAGAACTGACTGGAGAAAAAGAATCGAACTGAAAGATATATTATTATATTATGAAATGATAAGATGTCTCATCAGCAATTTTGGGAAATTCAGTATATTAATATTAGCAGTAGAAATTTTACTCACCTGGTCTTATAAAATCTGACAGACCAAAATCGGTAGCCTTCAAAGGTGAATCCACTTTTTTGGACTTGAAAAGAAAATTCTAGAAGAACGAGAGAAAATGTAAGTGAAGCACCATTACACAGATGATTCCAGAAAACAAAAGCTGAAAATCTTATGCTCAAGTGAACTTTGACAATACCTCCGGTTTCATGTCACGATGCACTAAACCATGTAAATGGCACTCAGCTGCAACTTTAAGCATCTGCCGCACAATTATTGCAGCATCTTTCTCGGTATAACGGCTGTCCTTTCTGATTAGAGAACATACATTATCAGTAAGTGACTTAGTTGCACTTTTAAGCAGAAGTATATACCATAAAGCAACCACAGAATAGCACAACAGATAATTCATCACATCCAAAAGTTGAGATTCTTACTTGGCCAAAATCCTATCCAGCAATTCACCACCCTCGCATAACCTGAAAAGAGAAGATGTCAAGAAACCACATAAGATCATACTAAATTGATGTCAGCTATTTGATTGGGGGCGAAAAAAAAAAAGGAAAAGGAAAGGACATATAACATTTCTGGGAAGGTAGAAGCAATGTAAAAACATACATGTGATTTAAATCTAAAATTTGACAATTTTAAATACCAATAAGCTGGGAAGAGAAGGCGTAGCATGTGAAGAACAAATTAACTGAATATGGAACTATAAAAAAAGAATCTCCAAAGAACAAGACTTACTCCATAACGATATAGACATAAGATTCGTCCTCAAAGGCATTATAGAACTGAACCACATTCTCATGGCCAGTTAAGGCTTGCAATATCTTTACCTCTCGTTTAACATCCTCAACAGCAATAGGAAGAACCATCTGCCAAAAATGCAATAATTTGTTCCATTACATTATAGCAAATATAGTATAAATGTAGAATTTAGTAAACAACTGTAATATTTTTTATTTTATTTTTTGATAAGTACTGTATTATTAAAAGGCAATTTTTTTTCTCAAAAATTTCAAGCTTTACTTATTAAACTACAATTCCTCGTTTAATTGTTTCTATGATCCCATCAATTATATTAGCAGCACTATGTGTTACTCAAATGACTAAGCAAGAACACAACACATTGTTTTTTTCTTTTCTCAACATAATACATTGTTCTCTTTCCGAAGCAACTGTAACAAAAAATCAGAGTTGTAGAAAGCAAGCAGAAAACAAACGTGGCTGGATTTTTTAACGTAATATGCATCAATATAAAGCCGGATTTGCAAGGCCACATCACTAATGCAAGCGTTCCAACCAGGAGCTTCTTCTTTAAAGCCAGTTTAATTACGGAATGATATCAGCAACACATATATTATTGTATTTGTTTTGTATTAGCTAAAGAATTCATGTTCGTCCAATAAATGTGGGATAGATAATGAAAAACAATGGGCATTTCTACATTGAAATACAGTTCCAGGAAAGTCAAACTTTGATCATCTATAGAAACATTAAATTTGTTAATCTTTGAAAGCTCCTCAATCATCATATATCACGGAAAACAGAATCCCCATTAGTTTCCACCAGAATACTGGAATTAGACAAAGCCCCACTTTAGTGAATTCAATAGCGAAAGCAAGCAAAGTCTTTTCCTTGCAAATTGGTGAGATGGTTCTATCTCAACTTACAAATATCACAATTTCACCAGCCATATCAATCCATTCATTCCAAATTGTTTAAGAACCAAATACCCAGATCCACTCAAAGGACCCTCAAATCATCAGAAAAACGAGAAGACTGCAAGTGATGAGACCCAGTTGATATATATTCCACCAAAGATAGATAGGTGAACATACTGCCCAATTAGATCGTTGGGAAATATTCATTGAAATACCAAAAGACCTTTCAACAATCTTTGGAACAAATACCATCATTGTGAGAGTCGATATTTTATTATCATTAGCACTAATCAATCAAAATACAAAATCCTAGTCTGACCCTATATTTTTGAGAACCACATCAACGACCCCCAAAAACTAAATTGAAATCTAAATCCCGGAAAATAAATTCCCACCAATATGGGGGAATTTTTTTTGACAAACTCAATTTCACACAGCAAATTTTTTTATAAAAAAATGACCAATAACACAAAACCCAAATCGAAAAACCAGTATAATAAAGAAATCATTACCTTATTCTTCTCAATTTTCTTTACAGCGACACGATCTCCATTAGACTTATCGGCGGCAACATAGGTATACCCAAATTGGCCGTGGCCCAACAATTTCCCAATCGTGTACCTTTTGTCGAAATCTTTCGCGTACCCAAAATCGGTTCGCTTCCCGCATGGAAGGACCCCACCTTTTTGCTTCGAATTCGCCTTGTCTTTCTTCTGTTGTTGTTGTTGTTGACGATTTCTGTTACCCTCTTGCGTTTCCTGTTGTTGACTCTCTTGTTTCCTGTTCGTAATTGCTGTTGATGATGGGTTGGTGCTCTGTTTGCGGTTGTTATTGACGGTCACGACGGTGGCGGTGGCGGTGGCCGTGGCGGTGTTGTTGCTGTTAGAGCCACTTACCTTGGTCGTTGAAAAACAGCTGCCCATGATTGTTTGCAGAGCAAAGAATTTTCAGAGGTTTGGAGAGATCAAAATCATTAGACAATTCAATGGGTAATACTAGCAATGAATCATATGTGTGTGTGTGTGTATATATATATATATATATATATAAATAGAGAGAGAAGAAGACAGAAATGCAATGAGATTAAGAATGAGAGGAAAGTTTGGAGCAGATAGAAGGAAGAAGGGAAGAAAGAGGGGGGGTGTGGTGGGGGTAGTGATGGTCAGAATAGACTTTTGAAGAACGGGAGGGAGGAGAGAGAAATAAGAGAGAGAAAGAGGAAAAGGGGGCGCAGGAGCTAGCCTCCCCCCTGTTTCTCACTCTTGGATGGAGAAAATTAAAATTGGATTTTTAATGGAGTAACTATTTTATTTCTGCATTTCATTTGATTCTATTTACCTCTGTCATTTTTATGTGTTTTTGTTTTTCCTGTTTTTGTGTTTTATTGGAATTTGGAAGAGTTATACGGCACGTGATCTTCACGCTCCTTGGAGAAAACTTGGTCAACAATGTTAAGCGTGAGTTCCATTAACAGCTGAATAATCTAAGAATTTGTTAAAATAATAATAGTATAAAATATTTTTATTCATTTATTCAGCTTTTGGGGAATGAAATCGCTAATTTATAGCTAATATGTGGACGTTTTTTATTTTAATTCTATAAAATTATATATTATTTTTTAATTAATATATATTCTGTTTTAAAATTATATTAGAATCACAACTTTTAAAATTATAATTACAAAACTAACGTCTTACAGAAATGTGTACATGCCATACTCATATCTCAGCCATGTTCGGAAAAAAATAATAATAATAAGTTAAATTTTATAACATTTCTAAGTGTGATAGACGTTTCAATAGTATTAAAGAACTTTTAAGAAAAGTGTCTATGCTTTCTAAATATTATGTACGTTTAAAAAGTATGAATACGTCTAAAAAGTATGAATATTTTTAAGAAAGTAACGTATTAGTATCCATACCTGTCAACAAAAGCGGAGCCAAAAAATTTCAATTGGGGGTCCAAATAGTGATATAAAGATATATTTAAAAAATATTTAAATTATTACAATAATTTTTTTCACAATTTTTAAAGTACATTTTAAAGAACAAAACTATAAACGATACAAGAAAAATAAATAAAAATTATATTAGTTATGAGTCCATTAATAAAGTTGTCTTACTTATGTGTGTGTGTGTGTATATATATATATATATATATATATATATATATAGAGAGAGAGAGAGAGAGAGAGTATTAATACGTTTTAGCAAGTCTTTACAAAATAATAAACACTTCTATTATTAAGTTTGAATTTTGAAAGCCAAGACCAAAAGTTTCAAAAAAGTCACAAATAATTTATTTCACAAACCATTTTTAACCCCTCTACTCCGCCCTGCGTATCGAATATCGATACTCATGGATACGTGTCCGATACTTCTTAAACGTATTCATAATTTTAATATATATTTTTTTATATCTAACACGCACACAATACTTCTTAAATATTTTGACTGCGTATCTGACATTTCATAACACATTTTTAATAAGTTTAAACATTAAAATGCAACTTTTCCAACAATGATAACATAATATAATTGTTAAGAAAAGTTCAAATTTTATTAAGTAATGACTAGAGATGCTTGTTTTTTATATTCTAAAATGAACTTCTATGTTTTATTAATAATTGCATTTCAATTCGTAATATTTTTTAAAAAATTTGATCAAATTATATATATATATATATATTTTATAAGTTTTTTATTGTCGTATCCTACTATCATATTTTTTAAAAATTTATATTGTATCGTCGTACCCATATCATATCATATCTGTATTTCGTATTCATATATATGTGATTATATATATATATATATATATATATATATAAGTTTTTTATTGCCGTATCCTACGTAACTGTATCATATTTTTTAAAAATTTATATTGTATCGCCGAACCCATATCATATCATATCTGTATTTCGTATTCATATATATGTAATTCTTAGATGTACGCTTATAAAATAATTCAATTTTCGGGTGTTGTTTGTGTGTGAGGAGAGGGTTATACCTATAGATTGTAAATTACATGCAGCTGATTATCAAACATATTTAGAAGGTATAATTTTTTTATTTGAGAAACCCCAAAAAGGTGATATAGAACCTGAATCTAAATTATGTAGTTCACCATATTATATCAATTGACTGGATTTGGCTATTAGTCAGTCAATAAAATTACATGGTGATTCCGAATCTCAATATATTATTGATGACTTTTTCTGCCCTCTTTACTAGGTAGTATTTGTTTGTAAACTGTTTAAGACTGATGATCCTAATATATTCCTTATTATATTTATTTAACTATTTAAAAATATCATGATTCACCAACTAATGCTTTGGTCCATATATTTCCCTGATGATGATTAAAATCAACCAAAGTGTCATTTCAACACCGAGACTAATATTTTTATTTTTATTTTTTTTAATGTGTTTCATAAATTACAATAGGTTTAGATTGAGATCAATTTTATCGGGGCGAGATATGTAAAATAATTTACTAAAAATCGATGAGTAATTTTATTTTTATTAAATTTTAAAATTTTTTTTTTTGTAAATATTTTGTGACAATGAAATATTAATAATAATAATAATAATAATAATAATATTTTAAAAAATATTTTACATTCAAATAGATAGAGTCTAAAGATCACTTGATACAAATAGTACCAAAGTCATACGTTTGAGGTTATATATTGTTATCAACAACAACATTGTTATCCATGAAAATTAGAATGGATCTTTAAATAAATAAAAGGATAAATTAAGAAGGAAAGTAGTTTAAAACCCTTAAATCTCATGCAATAACAGCTCACATTCTCACAAAAAGTCACCTCTTAACAAAACCGTTCCCAACTGCAGCACTGTTTTTCGGGTGATAAACTGAAAATTAGAATAAAAAATTTAAAATAAAAAATTAAATTTTTTGTTAGGTTTCAATTTTGTTGAAATTGTATAATTTTTATTCACTTTTACTGTATGGATTAATGACACTATGAAAACGCTTTTCAAATGAAAAAATGCCAATTACCAAAATAAAAAATAAAATAAAATAATGTCAAGTATTGTGTCCTATGCATTTTAGAATTAAGGAGTGCCAAAATCAATAGATTATAATTAATGATTGTAACAACCACTGTAAGTTAGATTATTGGTTTATAAGTTACTCCATGTGAACAGATTTCTTCTCCAAGCTGCACGTTCACTATACATTATAAAAAAATAAAAATTTAATTATTTACCAAAAAATTATTATTTAAAAAAATAATAATTATTACTTATGTAAATTATACACATATACCTTACGAGTAATTCTTAATAAAATTTAGCAATAATAGATAAATAGAACAAGTACTTTTATTTATTTTTTATTTTTTGAAGCCATAATCTATTACCGAGCACATCCTTTCTATAGACATTTCCTACAGAAAATTTATGAAGTGGTCCTAAGAGGACTAGTACACTTGACCTTACCAAGATTTCTAACATTTTTAATTTTAAATTACCTTGATTTGCTAGTCTAATGCTCTACTGATCTAAAATAAATATTAAAAAAATGTTCTGTTACCGAGATAAATTATTATTTTTTAAATTACATATAAAGTTAATGACATGCATATAAAAATTACGAAAGGTGTAACTAATTCGTGTGAAAATTGAAATGAATTTTTATAGGAAATTTTTTACACCCAATTCTTTGACCATGTGAAAATTATTGTAAAAGTTTTAGTGTAGATAATAACTGTAAAAATGAATAATACGATTAATAATTTTAATTTTAAAAAAAAAAAAAGGAATTATAAAATGTGTCGGTCGAAATTGGTGATTTACTTAATTTTTTTTTTAAAATGACAGATATTGTGGAGGCTTAGATGAATAATGATTACGAGAAACATTATGGGCCACATGTCAGCACACGATGGGTTACACAAATGTGGGAGAAAAAAAGTTAAAGAAATAAAATAAATAAAAAAGATGGTCTTACTAGCACGAACCCGATCATTATATTTCCATAGTCAACTTTAATATATATATATACATGTAGAGAGAGAGAGAGAAGTGCAGGTGGACCAGCTCTAAGCTTATGACGGTGTTGTTAAGTATATTATTTTCATGGCATGCTAAGGCCAAATATTTTCTTTCCAGGATACACGCGTTTTCTTTTATTATTTTATATCTTTAAATATAAACAAAAATTACTTAACTTATCTCTATTTAAGGTTTATTATCTTTAACTCTCTGTGTTTTGAATAATTACCATCACCTACCCCTAATTACATATACCCTCTACTCCACTTTAGATGTCTACTTTTAAAATTTTCACTTTTATTATTTTTTTATTGTAATGGCATGAATTAATTTTCAAATTTATACTCATGTTACTTTTAACTTTTATCCTTTCAGTGCAATAAGAATAAATTGGAAAAGTTATAAAATATGGTGCAATAATTTTTGAATTAGGACAATTATTGTAAAAAGGTTACAAATAGAAAAGTCAATATATATAGAACGAAGTCAGTTTGAATTTAGCTTACCTTTTAACCCAAAAAAAAAAAAGAAAGTCAGTATGTATTTTGTAAGTCGAACCATCTTTAATTTCACTAATAGTGACTATGTGGGGTATAATCTTTTGTGGCAAGTCTTTTTAGCTTCATATAATAAATATTTGAGGTGACTATAAATTGGATCAGATTAAGCATAAATTTTAATTTAATTCGGTTGTAACGGATTTAAACATTATAAATCCACCCCTAATTCATGGGGTAACAAATCGGATCAACGAATTGAGATTAACATTAATTCACAAAATAAATGATCACTAACTAATGTATTCTTATAGGCCATTAAATGATCACGGACTAATTTTAGTTTAAAAGATTATTAATTAGTAATACATTCGTAGAATATATATAAATAATCAACAGGCCTGTGGCCTAGCGGTACAAAATTCCTACTTTTTAAATAGAGGTGAGGGGTTTGAACCTTAGTGGATACAGTGTGTGTGAGTCCCAACTAGGAAAAAAAGAATATATATAAATATATCACAAATCGGAGCAGATCGGAATTGTGATAGCTCAATCTGCCATTTTATTGAATCTGCCATCCATTCGTAAAGGAAGGATAGAAGAGGGGTGGAGGGAGGGTAAGAAGGAAGAAACAAACTTTCTTCATTAGGTAGAAATGAAACAATGAAAGAAGATAAATGAGGATGGATGAATCATATATCATTCACCCTTCACAAATATTTATTCCTCCAAATATGGACGGAAGATATGAAAG